ACAGCGATTTGGCATGCTTAAGATGAGTTCATCAAAATCACTTTGAGGAATGGCCGCCCATGTGTTTTGTAACAAGTCAAAATATTGTTGTAGAGTATGTACGGTATGCATACTCGGCACAGCTCTTCTTTGAAGCATATCCCATGCGTGCTCAATTGGATTGAGGTCTGGCGATTGAGCAGGCCACGGCAGAACGTTGATACGAGCTTCGGCAAGAATGCGTGTTACGACTCTAGCCGTGTGTGGACGTGAATATCTCAAACGTTCATGACGTCCAGATGTTCTCCAAACTCTAGTACGTCTTGTATCCGGTCTCATACCGAAGCGGGATTCATCCGAAAAGCACACATAGCGCCAGTATTCTTCCTCCCAGTTTCTGTCTTCGCGAGCCCATCGTAAACGGGTCCTGCGATTGCAGGGTGCAATAGGTGGAACTCTGAGCGGCCTTCGGGATCGCAGACCGACTTCACGTAAACGATTTCGGATTGTTTGATCGCTTATTAGCAAGCCTGAGGAGCTGTGGAGCCTCGTAACCAACATCATGGCGGTCATGGTACGATTCCGTCGAGCAGTATTTTGGATATACCGGTCCTGTCTGCGAGTCGTGATGCGAGATCGTCCTCCATGTCGCTCGGCCACGCTGCCCGTCATGCGATAGCGCGTCCAGAGGCGACTTATGACGCTCTGTGTAGTGTTAAGAGTGAAAGCCACAGCACGTTGCCTGGAACCAGCTTCCAACATTCCGACGGCTCGCATCATCACTTCTCGGGTTAAATGATGTCGTCTCTCCGTAATAATGTAAATTGTTTCGGTTCCGATGCAGATATTGTAATGATTTTGACAAAACGCTATAACTCATTTTTATACAAAACCACATTGACAATCGATTTTCTTCTTATTATCGAATTTTAAACAATATTCCTTATTTAAATGTTAAAACTCACTAAAAAGTATCAATAGCGTTACAAAAAAGTTAATATAATTAACCCTAATTGCAGCAATACTCTTAAACGTACTTGATCCCTAGACACTTTTGATGTGTGTAATTCGTTTTGACTGGTGTTACGTTTGTTTGAGACTTTCTTCTTAACAATATACCACAAATTTTCTATCGGGTTTAAATCCGGACTATTTGCTGGCCAGTCTAAAACGGATATACGCTGTTCGCTAAGGAAACATTTGACGCTATTGGCCGTGTGTTTAGAATTATTGTCATGCTGTTCCAGGTTACAGGCAAATGATCGTCCGAGTAGGAAATCATTGTGTCCTCTAAGATATTTTTGTACTGCCATGATCCATTGTACCTTCAATCTTCCGAACGGGACCAACTCCACATCCGGAAAAACACCCCCAAACTTTAATGTTTCCGCCACTGTGCTTGACTATGCTCCTTGTGCATTTATAATTAAAAGCACCGTTTACAGGACGTCGAACATAGTGCTTTGCATCTGAATTTACCATGTTTATTTTCGTTTCATCTGAAAATAAAACTTTTTTCCAGTCTCGTACCGTCCAATTAATATATTTTTTTGCGAATAACAATCGCTTCTCTCGATGTTGCTTGGTAAGAAGCAGTACCTTTCGAGAGGTTCTTCCAAATAATTTAGCTTCCACTAATCTTCGGCGTATCAGTCTTGATGAGACGTTTCTGGGGTCATCAGGCGAAAAAACTTCATTTTTAATCTGATTTGAGCCTTTAAATGCATTGATTTACAAATAAATGGACGACGGGTCTAATACAAAAACCACGAAAAAAATGTCCCAAGTCAACCTATTTAAACGTAGTGACATGTAAAGGAATATGAAAAAGCTAAAACGTTGAATTTAAATTGTAATGTCATCGCAGTACTGTCTAATTTTGCTTGCTTCGCTGTCAGTCGAACAAACGAAGACTAAAGCGTGAATGACGCTCTGTATACGATTTTAACGCCCTATAAGTTCGTACACTTTTTAGCGCGGACCCGACGTCCATATAATTGTAAGTCAATGTTTAAATGGGTCTTTTTTAGCAACGCGAACGATTAGCTTATCTTCTCTGGGAGAGGTTTTACTTGGCCGAGCCTTTCTAAGAACATTATCAACAGTTCCATGTGTTTTATAGTGATCAATTGCATTAAAAACTTTCTTCACAGAACATTTTAAATGCTCAGCTATTCTTCTGTACGTCCACTTTTGATCTAAACGTAAATTAACAATTATTTGCCTAGTTGACACGTCACAACTTTTATTTTTGCCCATTTTGAACAAAATTAAATTCAAATCAAATTTTGAATTGCCGCCAAATTAATAGAAAACATCAAGAAAGAAATGTTTATTCTTCAATTTCAAAAAAAGAACGAGCTATAGATGCTTTTTTGAAATGTTTCTAATTAGACGTCCAAGCGGCCAGGAACAGAAAAAATACTTGTACATTGTGTAAGACTAAGACTCATTTTATAATTTAAAGTATGTTGTTTTATAATGTAAAGATATGTTTTATTTTTTATGCATTTAATGATTTTTTATTTGAGTGGCTATTATTTATTATTGAATTTATATATTTTTCACGAACATTTGTGCGTTGAAGTTAAACTTCCTTCAATCATAAGAAGTGTTTCTAATTAAACGACCACCACTGTATATATATAGATATATATACACACACACACACACACACAACAATATATATATACATCATATATATAACAACATTACAGTCCTACATAAGATTTGTAACGAACGAAGTACTAGAGGTGGGCTGCATAAGTGAGTCATCGCTTCTTATCGTTTAAAAATGCTACATGAGGGTGGGGACAGTCGTAGAGCCGATTCAGGTGACAAGCCTAAACGTGCTTTTACACCGGCGAGACGAGACGAGGCGAGATGACGATTGAAATTTGTATGGCTAAATTTCATTTTTCTCCTAGCGCATCTTCGGTGGAAAGTATTTATTTGGTCTGTGGTGGAAATAGTCTGGATTGACGAGGTTGGGCGAAGCGAGAATTGAAATATTTGTTGATGTAATATTGAAACGTATTGCTGTCTTCAGAGTATAATACTCTTCCGTTAACATGTTTCATAATAATAATTTAAGAGACATGTTACTTCAGCAGTGTGTACTGAACAGCACTGAATTGTCACCCACAACCATAGTGCGAGCTCGCACGAGCTCTTTATTAATGACATTTTTTGATGGAAATAGGCAGGCGATATTTCTATTCTCGTCTTGCCTCGTCTCATCTCGTCTCGTCGGTATAAAACCACCTTAAGGGTCGCCTTAAATTGCCACAGCAAAGTGACGTGACGCCGGCGATGCATTTAAGACGAGCAATGCAACATAAGCCTTATTTTAAGTAAAGTAAAGTAAAAGTCGCAGCAATAAGGTATTCTTTGAAAAATAGATAGCTGCTGAATGACGGGATTTCAAGCTGCGTAGCGCGAACTTTTGAAATAGCAATGCAATATAGAACTTCATTTCTACTGGGTTAATAAAGTGAGTATTTCTTTGAATGCAAAGGAAAGCTCACTCAGCTCAGCGCTCTGCCTGTACTACAGAACTATAGAATGGAAAATGACCCACTATGAACATAACAGTGGCAATCTGGTGACAAAAGTTAGCTTGACATGACAAACACTTTGAAGGCAGGTATGTAAGTTATGTTAAAACTATTTAACATAACTTACTAACGTTACGTATCTAGCACATAAAAATTAATATTTACCCGCTTGAAACAATGCGCAATGGAGTGGCAGAAGGATGACAGCGACATTTTTCTGCGCTGCCTCATAAGGACGTACAGGATAGGGTCTAGCACATAGTTGAGCATCATTAGCAAGTCGGATAAATTGCCAAGCTTTTTTAGAGATGAGTTTGTCCAGTGATCCGGGCCCAGTGCTAGGAACAATGTTGACGTTATCTATAAAAAAAGTATAGAATTAGGTTGGTAGCTATTTGGTGCGTAGGTACATGAACTGAAACCTAGGTACTACCCAAGACTATGAGTCTAGATTAAAACAGTTACATAATCTTCATTATTTAGTCTAATCTGTGCTAGGTGGTATTCATTCATTCATTTTATTTAAGAGCCATGCTCTTGTCGGTGTAGCCTCCTCCACTCCTCAAGCAGTTTGAATTTCTAGTCAGAAAAGTAGTCACTTTTTCTAACGGGCATGGCTTGCTGTATGAAACATTATACAATTGTGTACCTTAGCAAATAATACACAAATATCTGTGGATATTTATCAACGCATCTTTCTATCTATTTATCCGAATGGGCGGGATTACGTGAAAATTAAAGTCATTGTTCTTGATGATGCTATTTATTGAACAATTTACGAACGAAATTAAAAGGAAATGTATAGTGTTAAAAATAGCGCCCAAGCGACAGGATCAAATTGAACATTCTATATCCGGTGATGGAATAAATTCAATTAACTGAAACAACAACGGGTGATGTATTACCCGTGTTTGGGCATCATAAATGGGGCGGGTCATTAGAGATGACGACTACGACGCCGTCACCCCACCAATAACTACCTACTCGTCCTTAATTGATCAATTACTTGATAACGTATGATACTTCAACACGTCAAATTATGTGATCATGAAATGAAGAAATAATTGACAATTCCAATCTGACGACTGATATTTTAGCGACCCGATGTAGGTACTAGTAAATCATTCTCAAATAATCCATTTACATATTCCTAATCAGTGGTCTCTTGTTCGATTCACATCAATTTTATTATCTACATTATATTTTTGTGGTCGAAATCTTGTCTATTCGGTAAGATTTATTAAGTAGTTTGATAGATAAAATATAGATCTTCTATCTACCTAAATAAACAACGAACGGTCTGTGTCGAAGAAGTAGAGCAATAACAACATTCTCGATTGTTAGTATAGGTACTTAAACATAAAGGAATTTATATATTAAATGATATGCATCAACTTGGAGCTGATTAATTTAAACGTACATAGTTGCGAAGCGTTCTTTGGTTGCCATTCTGATGAAACAATAAAATATTTGGCTAGCTTGCCGGCTTACCCACTTGCATACAGATGAGCTCACAAGAAGTGGACAATTGACATACAATGTCCATTGATGACGCGACATTAACAGCTTGCGTGTTTGCTGGCCTGCTCACTTTTTTTTAACATAATTTATACATACACTGAATTTTTTTTCATTACTACTTCTACTATATGCATACTATAATAGTAATGTTCCTCCCAGAGTATCCTAAGATGGTTATATACTTGGTAGATAGGTTGTAGGTAGAACGAAGCTATAACCCAGGAAGATGCTATAGCATTATATCTTTGATCCATTTCAAAGTTGCTTCGTATGACACTTCTCGATAGATATGGGCGTTAAGAATAAACGCCGCCCCATCTAAAACCATTACGAGTAATGTAACTAAATTAGTCTACATTAAAGCCCAAAGTATCTACAGAAGACTGTGACAGAAAGCCGTATAGCTAAATATATAGTTTACTAATCCATTCTTGACGTAATCCAAGGACGTGAACTTCGCAGAATTACCTACTTAATGTTTTGCATCAACGTTACGCGTTTTAAAACGTTCGCTGAATATTAAACATAGGTAGGCATCCCTTTAAAGTCGATAGCGACCTATTGTTTGTTACGCCATTTATAAAATGGACAAGGAGTTCTTTAGCCTATTATTATCACCCTTTCAGCCGAATGACGTCCACTGCTGAACACAGTCTTCAGCCTATGTGAGTGGGTTATTGTTTTCTACTCTAAATAATTTTATACAATTTCTTTTTTGTATATTACTGGATAAACGCGATTTTTGTTAAAGATAGGTATTTTAGCATGTATGTATATACGAACTATTGTGTAACAATTGTTTTTACGAAGTACTTTTTAAACTAAAAGTCGACACTATTAAGGGTGTTTTAGAGTACATAATGCCAATAGTATTGACCATTGTCGAACGCGAAAAATGCATGTACACTTTTGTCATAAATCCAGGTCTTTTACAACACCTATTTAGTTGTTGAAAGTCTACTTACCATTTGCGGTAGCCAGCAAATCATAAAGAGTACGGACAGTGTAGCCATAAGTCTACTAAAGGCGACTTCCTCGGCAGTGGCAGCATTGTGATGTAGGGTCATGTTATTCCCAGAGTTAAGGCTGCGGTTGAGATCGCGTTGCCGACAACTACTCTTGGAGACACGCCGCACTACGGGCTGGCCTTCTGCACGTGGAGCAGTGATCGCATATAGAGCTTGGATCACCGCCAAGTTGCAGTACACTAACACCACGCATAGAAGAGTACCTAATACAAAGAAAGTAACTGTAAATAATAGTCTTATCTCTAATATAGATACGTACCTAAACAATATCGAAAATAATTAAGGACTTTTTCACTTTGTTGGATTTCTTTCCATTTCAATTGTGTAGGGATTTATCTTATATTGTCAATATTAGACTGAATCGAACGCCGAATAATCATTCTTGGTTATCAGTACCTAAACATTACTAGGTAACTATATTAGTTTTCACTGACGACGATGCAAGAAAAATGTTTTGACGTCAGAAAAACTTTGCGGCAAAACATATATACCGATAAGCTTTTGTGGTATTATTTGGGTAATTTTAATTTGACCTTGCTTGTATCATGTAAAAACTCTACGTAGGGAAAAGCAACGGCGAGGTGATAACACGTGTTATTGGAAGCCGATTACAAAAGTACCTTTATCGATATTTTTGGAATAATTGTTTTAACTCACCAAAAATAACATAAAAGACGGCATAAGCAAAATCCTTAGGTTCAGTTGCTTTTCGATATCGGGTGCATGTGTTTTTGGATTCATCGTAATAAATGCCGACTCCTAGCAAGGGGGCACAGGTCAGCAGGGCTGCCCAGAACCATGAAATGATTAGTGCCGTTCTGATCACGTAGTACGTAATTTGCTGTAACAAAAACAAATAGGTACCTGCTGTTAATAATACCTACTTACAGGAACGTAGAAACCGTAATTATAATGCAACACCCCTCTCCTGTCTCCTATCTGGCAGTCCAGCCACTGCCATATGAATATTGTGGTAAAAAATCCGCCTATTAAACATTACGGTTATGGCAAAGTCGGGACTGAATATATCCACTTGACTATAATTGGGTGTTGTTGTAACTAAGTTATAATACAAGACTTTGGACCAAATCAATATTTGGGGTAAACTCAGACAAAACTTGAACCATTACCACAAATACAATCATGAAACTTTTGTGTATCAGAAAGTTTGTTACACAATATGTTACAGCGATATGTGTAATCGCATACTCATAAAAGATGTTCTTACTAAAATACTCTTTATATTTAAATAAATAGATAAAGCAAGAGAAGTTGTAATTGTGTCTAAGTACTTCAATATTATTTACAAAGATACAATAGCTAAATAGACACCACGCCAATACATTTTATCTAATTTGACATTCAAAAAGTATTCGATCAATCCTAGTTGGACCACTTAAACCCAGATAATTTTAGAAAATGAAACTATTTTTCCGGATTTAAATCGCGTATATTTGTTAATTCAAACAAACCTTTTGTTTGTTTGAAAAAACAGATATACGCGATTTAAATCCGGAAAAATAGTTTCATTTCCTATGTGTACCAATCGCGAAAACCTAAGAACCAGATAATTTTGTTTTCTACGACTTTGGACGTCGCAATAAAGTTTTTAGGAGTACGTTAAATGTTATTTCAGGTCCATAAATCAGCTTATCAGAGAAAGTTTTACGGGAAATTGAATTTGTTTGAATGTCCAATTCGAATAAATTGTATTTATTAGATAGTTACTGGGAAAACTTATGCAAGTAGGTACTCACACTATCATTGAATTTAAAAAAAATACTAAGTAATTACTTATTAGTTATTATAGGTACATGCAATGAATATACGACGTTAATTTTTTTTAATTGTTAGTATTTGCAATGAAAATATGATTGCATAATTTACTAACATGTCTATGAGTCAAACCTACCGCTTTAAAATGTTTGGATTCGGAACGTGGAACAAAATCGAGTTGAATATGCGATTGGCCCATTTATCGCTTTTAACTGTTACAAGACGCACAAAAACTTTACAATGCAAATATTTTTTGTCGTGGAATACGCACAGGATACGTGTGTCGTCGTTACAAGCTACCTTCCCTTGTTGTGGCCGTAAGTTGATTTTATTCACATTGGAATTAGGTGTCATTATTCTTTATGCGGCAGTCGTTTCAGAATGTTAATAATATTAGTTAATGATAATATTGGTTTTACATTAAGTACTTATTGAATATAAATTTATCCCGTCAGATGACAAGGCTGTTGACTTTTGCCCTATTAACTTACATTTACGTCAATCATTTATGTTCGGATTTGATATAATAAGTTCGAGTCGTTCGCCTCGGGTAAAGTGTTCAGGATATGGCACGGTGAAATATAATTAGGCACTTACGGGCAGCGGAAGCAGCGTGCTCAGCACCCGTACAAATACCCAAACAACTGCAGTTAATACGTCATTTATTATTCCACTCGGTGTATGCAAATACGTTTGTTTACAAAATTAGATGTGACTAATTTTTTTACTAACTAGGTACTGAATTTGTTTAACAGAAGGAAAACTGAGTATTAGAGTATTGGATGTCGACGAAAAACCGTACGAATTTCGTAATAATCCAGCTTCCCATCTTTGGAAGCTATTTTGAAAGCAAAGCAACAACAGCTAAATATGTCAAGGAAAAATTTTTCTGCGCAACAAGTTGAAAAGGATTTGAGACGAAGGGAGGCAATTTCACAGAAGATTGCGTTTTCATCAAACGTTATTGAAAACCTTTTACTGTTGTTCTTTTTACTGTGTAAACTTGTACACAAAACTCGTTTCTTAATATCTGTTCGTATGAGGGATTTTCATGAATGAATTTCATGATAACCGTTCATTCGTGTGTGTAGGAAATTAGTAGATGACAAGTTCTATTTTCGAAGCAGACGCCATAGGAATATTTCGTAGAAAAATAGGTATAGATATTAAAATCACTATTTTGGCTGTTATTAATTGTTCTTTAGAATCATAATTTATAGACTTTAATTTTTGATTTCACCTTAATTTCCATTGGTGTTATAAAAACATTGCTTGTTTATACCTGACCTGCCGTTTTATGATTTTCATTTGGTAGGATAGGGTGGCAATGTCGATGGGGAGCAAAAACAGCAAGTTTGTGTACGTGTCCACAACTAGATTTCACGTGTTTGATGTCGGGTAACATTTAATGATTTGATGTTTTAACAAATTTATTAATGTATCAAATAATTCCATGGATCTGCTTCTATGAATACGGGATCTCATCATTCAACTGGCTGTAATCTACTTGACTTTGCGGGAAATGATAAGATATATTTTCTTTAAGCAATGTGCTCATCTGTTGGACGTAACACGAATTAAAGCAGATAATAAAAAGTCGTTTCACTACGATCGTTAATCACTTGTAAAATTAAAATGTAATAGATACAAAATACTTTACTTAATGACTCAAATATAAGGTTGAAAATACTATAATAACACTTCGGAAATAAATAAATTTTTAAGATGCCTTTTTCTAAAGTACTTTACAAACATTTCCGTACCTTATTATGTAGAGTCTGATGATATTTTACGTAAGCTGACAAAGGCGGGGTTTTCTAGTTGCATCCTTTCTCAAAAATTTATAAACTTCGAAATCAATTCATTTGTTGGTGCCTACATATCACAAAGAAACTATATATATCTATGCAGCTTAATAATGCTAATAAACAGGTCATATGTGGCACAGTAAGGGGTGCTCACAGTTTATGGATATTCGTTAATTCATTCGGCTGACGATCGATGATATTACGCAGTTCTTTTACGTAATAAGGTTTATATCTACCCCAGGTGAGCAAAGGACCTAACTTGAAAGTAAATGAAACGTTAATCCGGATACTTAAGAAATTTACTTTTACATCATAATAAAGAATTGAGGCGGAAAGATCTTGGAAGTCGTTTAACATCGACAACTTTGTCAAAAACAAACAACATCGGCAGTCAAGGAAAGTAAAAAAAATTAAAAAACAATTATTAAAAATCTAAAATTTGCGAAATGAGCGAAATATACTCATGAGGTTCATGTGCTGTTGATTTATTTTAGCATATACGAGTAATTTTAGTATACACCACGTTTTTTAAATACTTTGATCAGTCTTTTTCTCTGTGATTTTTGGTTTATCAATATAGACAGTTTACCCTGTTGTAGAATTTATCACAGGCACTCCATATCAGCTATCAAAACGGGAATAAACATGATTAAACCATTTAATAGTTATCGCACACTTACCTATTAATCCGAAGTTTCGGCCAGCCTGTGCGATGCGATGGATGAAGATTCTTCCGTCGAGACAGAGACCTAACATCGCATAGGTGTGCAAATACCTAACAAATTTAATCGCGTTTATTTCCGTTTTGATATGGATGGTGAGTGATAAATGCTGCAATAGAGTGTAAACTTTCTCATATTTGCAATGTTGTAGCAACGTGAAAATATAAAAGTGTATAGAAATATAGAAATGCCTTATTTGTAGGCCTATCTACAAGACGAGAAGACAGTGTTGCTCATTAGGAATCAATCTGCGACACAATTATGGGATGACATAGGAACCTATAGTTGTATTATGAATGCGATGGTTTTGTAAAATGTATCATTAACCTTTTGATACAGGAACGGTCGAGTGAGTGCGAGATATCGCTCTAAAGCCATGGTGACAGCGATGCAGACGCTGCCGATACCAAAGATGCGGAGTACGACTCTCGCCGCGCAGTAATACTTGTCACTCCTCAGCTCCGGGTGATATTCCGACACCATCAGTAAACACATCATGCCGACCTGTTTTTACATAAAAAATATAAATACCGAAGCTTATACAAATGACACACATTTTGAAGTACAAAATCTTGAAATTTCAAAACACTAAAATTACTTTCGTTTTTTGAAAATGAAAATGTTCTGTAATTCACATTTCAAACATTTTTCAGTACGGAATTTCACAGTTGTACATCCAATGAGCGAAAGTTTACGGTATGCTTATATAAACACTTGCATATATTATACAATCATAACACACACACACGAACGCACGCATGCACGCACGAAAGCACGCACGCACGCACGCACGCACGCACACGCACACGCACGCGCACACACACACACACACACACACACACACACACACACACACACACACACACACACACATAATATAAAATACACAAATACATAAATGTATGTATACTTAAATAAACGATGAATTATTGTGATACTATTGTTTGCGCTAACAATGAATAAGTCACCACGTAGTATGAGATTCATAGACAAATAAAGTATATTTAAAGCGCAGCGGTGTTTCAGTCAAGTTATTTAGGTAAGTACCTAACAGATTTCTAGAAATACCATTTTTTGGTTACAAGTTAAATGGTGATTTATACTTAAATAACTAAGACACCCTTATAACGGATCAGTTAATGTTTAGGACACTTTCGCCAGATACGAGTATTATGCTACTTGGTACTGTATATAAATTATTGATAGTAGCCAATAAATCTGACATAATCATTAAAGTTTCATAGTTGGGATACATTGGTAATTATTTGATATAAATTGTGATATGTTATTATTCGCTTTGGCTTCATTTAATTTCGCTTAGGCCATCTTAAATCGTTCAAATAAATTCATCAAATAACAGAACTATATAGTCTCTATATACTTACCAAAGCGACCAGGTCATTTGCAGCAAGAGATGTCAAGAGGAGCAGATGTTTACGATTTCTGACGCGACGCTCTCCGAGCCTTAGAGCAATAATAGCAATAGCGTTCCCAATTATACCGATGGTGTACACCACCTTTGCCACTGGTATTATCGACATTGGTTCTTTCAGCAAAGTCGGTGGATGTGTTACATTGGCGAATGTTTGAGTGAAATTTGTTGATGCCATCCTTAATATTTTATAGAGTAGCCAATTGATAATTTGAAGTCAGCCCAAGTTTCGCTCCGTCGGAATGTGCTCGATTGTTTTAATGGCAAAATGTTGTTTCCAAAAGCACCAATAAATACGTGACTTTTCCCTAAGGCCATTGAAGGTGAACCTGAAAACAATATTCATAATTAATAAATAATGACTGTTATTGATAAACAGGGGAATTATATGTAATGATGACATTGAGAAATGTATGAATTGACATGTCGGAATGAAGTTGTAAGTATATATTTAAAATTATAGGATATTCATATCCCTGGTAGTATATAAAACGACATGTAGTGTTCATCATATATATGAAAGTCATAAAAATTGTCCGAACTACATGAAATAAAGAATATACAGGGTTATTTTTAAAATACTAACAACATCATAAACAACAATTTTTTTTTCATGACTCTTTACAAAAAATACATTTACCAAAATAAACTTGAGTTTTTGTTGTACTTTCTGACACTTTTAGATCTATATTTCGTAGAATAAGGCTCAACTCACACTGGCGTGAGTCGAAGCGTCGTCGCGTCGCATCATGTTTTTCAACTACAACGCATGGCGACACGCGTCGTCGCGTGACGGCGCTTGTATTAGCGCGACCGGATCAGTGTGGTCGGCGTCTGACGCGTCACTGCGCGCAAGCAACCGCTCCACTTTATATTTGCATAACACAAATTTGTACCTTAATAATGGGAAAATATAGATGAATATCCTATAGGCGAAAAACATGACACGTCGCTATCCTTCGACTCTGCGCCAGGGTGAGTTGAGCCTAACTTCAAACGTGCAAGCGTTCTCTGCGACGGATCCCACTCCCGTCCTGCACAGAGTTATTTATTAACGTTTAGAGCGATTTATTCAATTGTATTTATTTTTATATGAAAGTAAAATCTGATGAATTGTTATAAGTCATGGAACAAAAGTTGTTCTTGTTTATGATGTTAGTATATAGTCCTGCGAGATTGTTAGCATTTTAAAAAAAGCCATGTAGATATGTGTGAAATTTTATACCTTTCCTATTTAAGCGTAATAAAAATATCGCTTAATTTACTTCGTAGAATCTTTAAAACTCTCTCCTAAATACTTATTATTTCTCAGATGTGTCTTTATTACACCATGGGCGCGAAATTGCGAACTTTATTTTTTAAGATCATTACTCTTACCGGCTTAAAAGCATCCTCATCTTATCCAATTTAATTTGTAATAAAAATTCCGTCTACGACGTTTCATTTCATAAGAGTTTTTAAATATAGATTAATACATATATTAATTATAAGAAATTACATGTACATACAAATGTTATTTAAGGAGCATGATAACAACTTATTTGTTAAGTTAATAAAACGTTACGCTAATAGATAGTCGCAAATAAAGAAGTTAACGATCAACGACATCTGTAAATAAGTTAACGATCGGCGCCACAAGGAGCTTAATCACTTCATGAACGCTATCGGGCGTCGAGCTATACTTGATAGTAATTTGAGAGCATCACAAACGTACCCTGGTGCCCACTAATTAATTCCTGCCCTTCAAACACAACCCACCATCAATGGCCAATAACGACACCGTACATAATTGCAAATGGTAGAGTACCTAAATTTTCCAAGCGATTTGACTATATAGTCCGCGATACAGATCCATTGAGGACTGACAACTGTCCCTATCTACCGACCCGAGAGATAGAGTTTTCCGGAGAGACTATGGGCTCTTTCGGCTTTTGCGCGTCTACGCGTCTCTGGCGGACCCGGACTTGGGTATGGACTCGCTGGGGTTTGTGGTTGGCTGCAGAGATGGACATGTTTGTCTGCCCGGTTTTGCATGTTTTTTTAGTAGCGGTCTAGTTGAGGGCCTGTAGCGCGCTGAGTTGCCCTTTAAGTTGGAAGCTATCCGGTCATTGTCCGGACATTGCCGCAGGACACTGTGACCGGCATCTCCGGCACTAGCCTGAGCTAGTAGAGGATAAACTAGATATCCTCCGGTCCCTCCAGCCGCTTAGGTTATTGGGAACTGGAGAGACGTCGTTTTTCGGCGTCGGAAAGTGAGCGTGCCTTACAGCTCCAGTACCTATCTGGAAAATAGGGAGGGCACTGTACGTGCACCCGGGGCGGCTCAGCCTAGGCACTTGTCTCTCGAAGAACCGGATGAAGTCAAGTGACAGAGGTCTGTGACAACCCTGTACACTGGCTGTACTGGGGTCAGAACCTGAACTTATAAGGTTCCTGTGCGCGCACAGGTTATAGTGCCCTTCTCGTGTGCCCTCAAGGTAGGTAAGGAGGGTCACTATAATCAAAACTATCGTAGAAAGATGTGGAGCTTGAGGACTAACAACATAGAAAGACTGTAAATATTCTCTGAACCTATTTTCTTTTGCGTTAAAGTAAATGTAATAATATGGTAATAATCCATTTGATATTTATTATACATCGTTAAAATTAATTTAAAATTGTGAAAACTAGTCTCTGCTACTCAATCATTACTCCTTTTTTTTTTCAGATTTTCCTTGTGCTTATCAATCTTTACCTAGCTAATCTTTTGAAATAGTTTTTTTGTCTGACATTACATTAACTCTAAATTTTTTTAATGTATGGTGTTAGGCATAAATGAAATTCGCAGTAAAGGATTCGTAGAGTAACGTAAATGAAAAGTAGTAATATTGACCTAAAATTAAATTTATATTTTGCTAAAACGTAAAAACCGTTTTTAATAGGTACTACCTTTACATCACTTTGTTATGAAAGCACAAGCAAAATTTATAAACGTCAGCTGAGTTCCCCTTTACTAACTTTGTAACACCGAATGAGTGAATTTAAAATTCTATTTAGAATTGAGTTAGTTGCCCGACTCTTTCTTTTGTTTTAAACATACAACTTCGCCCCAGTGAGTCTAAATAACTAATTTAGTCAGTTGTGTTAGTTTGATTTTCCGAATTCTTACCTTATTTTTACATTGCCAGTATCTTACTTCGATCACGAAAAATTTATTATAATATATAAGTATGTCCTTTTCAATTTGTTTTATTTCGTAAAAGTGTTTAGGAAATCAATTGTGCCCGGGCTACCCGATAATTACACGCACAGAGAAGCATGCGCTCAAGCGAATTCCACGGGGACTACTGAGAGCCACAGGCTAGAAGTGCCCGTCATTTCGCAGTTCTGCACCATTTCGGTAGGATATTACTACTCTCCCTTATAGGTATCGTTCGTTATACATTATTACATAAGATTGTCTGCTTGTTTAGATGTCATTTTCTGAATATTATCTTTATTTTTGTAATTACTTTCTCATTAATTTTATTTAATTTAAGCTCCTATTTCTGAATCCCAATTGATTGAATTTAGGCGTACTGATAAAGAATATTTAATTTTTATTTGTCTCTTTCACTATAATTTAAAACTGTTTGTTTAGTATTGTACCTTGGTGTTAGATAATAGCGTAAACAGTTTGTGTAGCTTAACCTGTAGTTGAGAGTCATGTTTCGATCATTTGTAGAGGTATTATTATTATCTGGGTGTGGCAAAAAATATGTAATAGTACAAATTAAAGGAGGAAATGCTCTCCTATATAATATGTTGTTTATTTGCGAACAAAACACTGTCAGTTAATAATTTACTTTGCACCGAGTTTACACGTAGGGACAGGAGAAGGAAAATATAAAGATTGATACATTATTAGAACAAAGTATGCATCACTTATTTACACTTATATTGATAATTTAGGTTTGAGCTTTTGTTTTTATAAAATTATTTATGTAAAACATGACTGCGTAATTTTAGAAACAGTAAGAACACATTTGGTTGCTCCACTTAATGTGGTTTTTAATCGTCACCAAATAAGGTAAAACAACAATATAATTATCAAACACAGAAACATTGTTCGCCGTACCAAATCATAATATTTACCCGATCCCTTAAATTAAATCAGTAATGATCTACATACCTACAATGATAGAACTAGAGTTTTTGTATTCATTTTCAACGTTTTTTACATTTAAACTTGTCACTGACTGGTATGTACACATATTGTTACTAACAATAAATGCTCTTAATTGAAATTAAATAAATCTATTATGAATGCGATGTACGTAGAATTATGTTGAAAAATAGTAAACAATTAATAATGGAGCTATACTTAATTAATTGAATAAAACAAATTCTCGCTACGTTGATTTTACGCTGGTTAAATTCATAGCCGGCGAGGAAAAACAAAGTGACGGCGCGGAGCTCAGCGCACATTACCATATATCACGAATTTATTGTTGTCAGTCAATAATCTCAGTACAGAGTACTAAAAAAACCGAACTCAAAAGTACGTGGAATTACGTCTATTTGCTAAGTTTTATTGAAATATCCCCTAGTTCGCAGTGGCTGTATAGTGATACAGGACTTGACACTGGAGATAATAAAAAAAATAGGTTCTCACTACGACACTACTCAAAGTATATTGAGAGAAAAAAGCCTTGAATTGGAGAAATAGCAAAATCAACCATTAAAGAAATTGCTCCTAAATTAAAGTTATGCGCTATTTACAAAAATGAATCTTCATGCGTGAACAGCCACCCTTCGAGGTGGATGATTTTCTTCAAAATGAAATGGGACCACTATGGAAGTACCCCCTTTCCAAAAAAAAAGAATCATGAAAATCGGTTCACAAATACCGGAGTTATCGCGTAACATCCATACAAAAAAAAGAACATACAGTCGAATTGAGAACCTCCTCCTTTTTTGAAGTCGGTTAGAAATTAAAATCAAAATAATCTCTATTTCATAGATAAGTATTACTATACTTGAAATCGTCACATTGGTTAAACTCTATCGCTCATTCGTAAGGCAGATTCCCTTGTGAAAAATGAGCAAGAAGCTAGGGGTTGCTCTTTGTAAATAACATTTGTACGCATTCAACATTTACAATATATTTTCGTTTGTTTCCAAATATCAGAGACCGACACTACTTCCATGAGCTAAACGGGTTACTATCACGAATTTTTGTCATCCAAATGCGCAAAAGTTGTATAATAAATAACCTTTAACTACACTCGCGAGCAACCAAATCGACTCAAGCGCTACCTCTACATTCAAACATTGTTCTATATAAAAGTATACAACATTTCAATAAAAATAATATGCCATTTGAAAGCTTGAAACCTAAGCTTTAAAAAAACATCAATATCAATAAATAAAACAAGTACCAACATGTTCATTTGCGCAATTAGGGAGAATGGGACTAATTACTACCTACGCTACCTGCTAGTTGCGCTACCCTCTACCCCTATAAAAACCCCCGTGACCCTTGAATCCTTATCAGTCGCTTATCAACAGTTGACCGATACACATCTCCGCAACCTGCATTCATTGTTTTCAAGAAACCATGGATACCACACCTCAAGAAGCCGCTCAAGTTGTTGCCTTATTGCAACAAGGACTCAGTCAGCGAGTAGTGGCTTCCCAGCTTCACTTGAGTCAATCTGCTGTATCCCGAGTATACCGACGGTATCAAGAGACCGGAGCATTCACTCGGAGATCAACAACCAGCCGCCACCGTTGTACTTCTGAAGGAGACGACCGTTTCATTGTCTCAACCATCCTGCGAAATCGGCACCTTACGGGTGTCGACGTGCAGGGCGAGCTGAGACGTGTTCGAGGCGTAGCTGTCAGTGAGTGGACAGTAAGAAGACGTCTGAAGGAAGCCAATCTGTCTCCAAAAAGGCCTGCAACAGGCCCCAAATTGACTGCAGGCCACCGGCAAGCTCGGCTACAGTTTGCTCGAGAGCATCTTAACTGGAGCTTTGGGCAATGGCGGTCGGTCCTATTCACTGACGAGTGCAGGATGTGTCTGCATGGCAGTGACAGGAGAGGCCGGGTCTACAGGCGTCCGGGAGAGCGATTTGCCCAATGCTGTTTCGCAGAAACCGTTGCCTATGGTGGCGGTTCTTGCATGATGTGGGCTGGTATCTCGTTGGAGGGTAAAACCGAGCTCGTTTTCGTGCCTGGAGGAGGCCGAGGATCGGGACTGGGAGCTGATGGGTACATCACAAATATTCTCCTGGAACATGTTGTGCCCTACGCAGGATTTGTTGGCGAAGACTTCATCCTAATGCACGACAATGCTCGATGCCACACAGCCCGCGTTACTCAGGAGTTCCTTCAAGAAGTCGATTTGCGCACAATGGACTGGCCTGCGCTAAGTCCAGACCTAAATCCCATCGAGCATTTATGGGACGAGCTCAAACGAAGGGTACGAGCAAGAAATCCAGCTCCTTCGAGCCTGGAAGAACTGAAGGCAGCTTTATTAGAGGAGTGGGAAGGTATTCCTCAAGACAACGTCAAAAAACTAATAAGATCGATGAAGAATCGATTACGTGCTGTAATTAGGGCTAGGGGAGGCAATACCAAATATTGAATTAATAAATTTTATACTTCTTAAGAAAAAAACGTATTTTATTTGTGTCAAACTCCTTTACCCAAAATCCCATTTTTCTCCCATTTAAGTTCAGACACCGGTAATAAAAAAAAGTATACATGGATATTAATAATGACGACATTTCCTAAAAGCTGAAGTTTCAAGCTTTCAAATGGCATATTATTTTTATTGAAATGTTGTATACTTTTATGTAGAACAATGTTTGAATGTAGAGGTAGCGCTTGAGTCGATTTGGTTGCTCGCGAGTGTAGTATAAAGTTTTTGTTTCACTATAGCGTGAATGGCAAATTTTGTGTATTGTATTGTATTAATTTTGTATATTGTATTAAGTGTTCACAGAGATATTTATTCCTGTATTAATTATTCCGCAATACTGCCATGACCAGCCTTTATACACACATCAAAAGTGTCTAGGGATCCAGAGAATATTTTTGAAATAAAAATTATTTAAGCAATATTTACCAAATCCAGTCTTCCAGGACGACTTCTTACTTTAATGCTTATGTTTTATTTAACCGCTTACCCCTATATTTAATTAAAATAAAGTAAAATTGATGTTTTTGCAAATTGTGGGAAAGAACTCAAATTAACGGCGTCTATTAAATGACAAAAAAACGGCGAAAATGATGATTTTGCTCATTTTTATTGTAAAGATAAGAAAATTAATAATCTGTATTTCCACCATTAACACGAATCACACAATAACAGCGATTTGGCATGCTTAAGATGAGTTCATCAAAATCACTTTGAG